CAGCTACGAAATACACCTGTATGAAATTCGTGAAAACGTTCAAAAGAGTGAGATGATCGCCCTCTTCAACCGAGAAATTCCTTTTCATTAATTCCTAAACAAGACAAAAGTAAGCCAACTTTATTGAAGTCTTCAATGAAACATGTGACAAAATTGAAGAGATTTACAGCTCTATGGCGAGATCTCGATGGTATTACAAAAACATCTTGTATTTGGAGCATCGCTATAATCGTTGCAATCTCTTCACTGCAACCAAGTTCACCTAAAAATGTAATATTAAACATTTAACTTACAGTTTATCACAACTGCACTTGACATTCTTCTATGACAATTTTACTTCACACTGAAACTGACGTTGCATAAGAATGTACCTCACCTTGCGGTATCAAAAGCATTTGCAATAACAAGAATAGAATCTTTTGTATCAGCAATTCATCTTTCCGCTACCAAAAGGCGGCAGGTATTTTTTGATAACAGAAATGCAAAACAGTCGACCCGAAAATAAACATACCCGAACAAAGAAGAGTTTTGGAATGTTGGGGCGGCAAAGGAAATTCTATCATTTGAATGCCTAACGGGTTGGTTAACAAACCGTCTTTGGAAAGGGCTCCAAGGTAATACAACGACTGAAGACCTTCAGCCATTGCAAAGGAAGATGGCCGCTGAAAATTCTTGTATTAAGAATATTAAAAACACTAGAATAGACTTTCTTCTTCAAGTAAAAAGAAAAAAACTTACCGATAAGTAATTGAACCGCAACACATTGTGTATCCCTAACGCTTTCAACAACAGAATGACAGCTGCGAGGTTTAGTCGCTGCATTTCGGGTATCGTATTCACCAGAAGTTTGTCGTATTCTTCTTCTGAAAGTTAATCTCGTAAAAGCCAATACTTGGAGGGCTAGATGCTTGAATTGCATCGCATATCATTGGGTGAAATATATACGTGGATAGAGACGATAACATTTTCCGGGGCGAATTCGTCCAGCCCTGCCTGTGCGCTGTTGTGCTGATGCTTGAGAAATAGGCAATTTCATCAAGCTTTCGAAATAATTTTCAGGATTCATTACCCGAAGTTTTACAAAACCGCAATCAATCACTGAAAATGTGACAAAATAAATGATGCAAAATCTGTATTTGAACTATGACAACTAGCTGTTGAAGCAAAATGAAGTTGAAGGTTTACTGTATGTACCTAGTATCCTCGTTTGTGATTTACTCATATCAACTGCTAAAAAAGAGGAAAAATCAGGATTAACTACAAATATAATATAAAGACAAGAAGATTTTTCATTGAACTGAATCACTTAACCAACCATAAGTTATTCCAGGTATGGTTAAAGACGTCTCGGCAATATTTGTAGCAATCACGACTTTCCTTGTGCCATAAGGGGTTGAGTCAAAGGCTTTTAACTGAAAGAATATGAAATTCAACACAATGCACAATAACCATGATGTATTTCACAGAAAAAAATACTGGTGATCCAGAGAGGTACCAGAAATACAATATTATCTAGTAAATACATAATCAAAGTGTTGGAAGATAACATTGTACAATTCCATAGTGTAGATACCATCAGTTATGATTAGCATATAATGCAGGCTGAAAAAAAAAAAACCCGTTGTAACGAGAATACGACCTGTTCAAACGCAGGTAACGAGCCATACATGGGTACAATCCACATTTTATCTGCTTTCTTGTTTCTGAGATCTTTGACCGCTTCAATTAGCTGTTTACTAACTGATTCTACCTGAAAAAAACTCGGCCTATATTTCTCCTAAACCGCTAAAGCATTTGAAACATATTTCCAAAACAACTTAACATGCCTCATCTTGTCCTGTAAGAAACACCAATATATCGCCGGGCTGTTCATTTTTATGAATATCAAGGACAGTTTCTACTGTTTTCTGAATATAATCCGGTACAGGACTGAAAAGAAATTATCCAGAAAAACATGTGTTACAAATTTTTATATCAGATAAAAAAACTTTTCGAAACCAACAAAAATCATTTTTCGGAAAATTTTTAGCTTCTGAGGACCTACTTTCTGGTGTGATAGACAGTGACAGGATGGATGTGACCCTCCACAGAGATAATACTTGTTATGTCTTTGGTTCTGTCATTTGTATCATTCAACTCGAAAAAATCACGAAAAAGCTGCAAATATTGAAATTTATTAAAAGTAATAAAACCTATGGAAACATAATCTGTTAATCTTTCCGTCCCTTTAAGTATTTAGCCAATTTCATTGATAAGTATTTAGTAAATTTCAATATCTGAACAGATTGCAATTAAGATTTGTTACAATTTAGTAAAGTGATACGAATGCACGAATGCACTTTGTACTCAGGTTGGCCATTTTTTGATATTTTAACTATCCGGTTACCACTTTAACAACAAATAACTAACAATGGCATCAAGAGTTGCAGACGAGACGATTATTCGAAGATCTTGACGTACCATAATTACTTTTCGCAGTAAACCCAATGTAACGTCGGTGTTAATAGAACGTTCGTGTGCTTCATCAATCATCAGTATACTGTAAGAAAGCAGAGTTTGCTAAGTTGTTATCATATATTGAAAAATGTTAAGCTATAAAATTATGTGAAACCTGTATTGTGTTAATAAGGGGTCGGACATAAATTCACGAAGAAGGATGCCATCGGTCATGTACTGAAATGATATAATATCAAGTCACACGAAAATCATATGAAAATAAACACATGAAAATACCGTCAACTGAATAAATTTATATTACAAAAAATCTTAGATAAACAATTTCATTTCATGAATTTATTGCAGGGTAAATATTATTTCAGCACTTATTTGCTTAATTATATTTGGTCTCTTCCTAATTAATTGAAATGTCTATTCTTAAATCACTATACGCTGAACATCAATGCCCCAAATCATATTATTCTTCAAAAAATGGCAATCGTTACACTGTAATACACACCATATAATCATATTGTTCATGACAATATATATCATACAAGATAGAAACAAAGCTTGCCTTTATCTTAGTTTCCGAATCGGTCATATCATCAAAGCGAACTACATAACCAACATCCGTACCAAGTTTGCATGATTTCTCCTCAGCAACGCGATTAGCCAACTAAAAAAGAGCACCCCTAATATTGCCTAACTTCAGTAGTACCATAAAAATATCTTCAAAATGGAAGTACGAGGAGAAAAAACTATAATTATATTAATTTTTAGAAGAATTAAAGACTTCATGGAAAAAGGAAACAAACCGTAACTGCTGCTATCCTTCTTGGCTGTGTTACGCCTATTTTTCGTCCATCTGAGGCCCAGCCAACCTCCATCAAGTACTAAAAAAATGCCATTGAAATGCAGTGCTTTCGTCCTTCTATTTATTCACTAACCGTAAACACTGATCTACAGACAACTGATGAATATTTGGTGGAATTCAAATTCATCGTTATACATTACACGCGTTCTACCTCAGGAAAAAACCAAAAATTTCATTTGCTTTAAGACTGAAGACTTTATACATGAGAGAAGTTTAAAATTCTACTGACAAATAAGGGTAATATATATAATGCCACAAAAGTTTCAGTTCTCGAGAGAGCAGTTTGGACTCAGATTATAACATGAAGCTTTGAGACCATTATCCGGGACAATGGATTTGAATTAGGTCAAATACACTCATGTACGCCCTATTAGAAGCCAAGAGTCTTCATTACGAAATCACTCTTCTTCCAAAAGAACAAAAAGAAAAGAAAATCAAGATAACCTAAGAATAAAATACACAAAAAGGAAATAAAAATTGAAAACAGTCCTTTCACCTGAGGTACTTGGGTACTTTTGCCACATCCAGTTTCACCAACGATGATAAGTATACGATATTTTTCTAGTAGATATATAATATGATTGCGATGCTATAATAAATGATGCATAAAATAAAACTTGAAATCCAACTATAAAATTAGTAGATGAGTTTTATGCATAGTATCATCAATTGAATAACTCTACTGATAATTTTATCAACAGTAATTCTATTTGTAACTTCATAATAGAAAAAGTAGAGCTTTACTTCATTATCTCTTGCAAAGATACTTGCTTAACTACTATTGGCAAAGATATTCATATTAAACTCGAGTAAAACATAATTTAAGACATAATGATTCCAGATTTTAAAACATTATGCGGTCATTGAATTATTAAATAATTGGTTATATTCAAATCGTACAATTAATAAAAGTAATCGAAAGATGAATTTACACCTTAACTGTACTTATAAGTCCTAATTTTTTTCATTTTTCATACCTTAAAAATAGGAAGTCGCGCACGTTGCTGCTGAATGGAAAGCGCAAGGAATGGATTACTTACGATCACATTAGTTCTTTCCTCAGTTACGCGATCCTCCAGGATAAGTGGGCCATTACGATTGTCGAAAGTATCACCATCAGCTAAAAAAAAAGAAAAAGTTTGCGTACGTACTTTAAGACGTGAATAATCATGGAAATTTTAAAGACAAAATAATGACAACTAATAATGAATTTGTAAAAAATTTTAGTGGAAATGCCAGAACATATGACAAAAGGTGCTTTCAAAATTTGGATTGATAAGGAACTTAAGTTTAATCAATACGATTGATTTGTAATACTAGCAAACAACCGAATTGAAGAGATACATGAGGTCAGTAAATAGCAGGACTCAAAACTAAAAGTCCAATAGTCTCAGCAAAGTAACAGCTATCCAGCTGAACGATAAATAATTAACTTCCAGAATCTCAGTGCAAAACATCAGCAAACGACGTGTCCAACCACAATGAAAAACAAGAACATTTCGAACATTTCGGTCGAATAGTTAGTCGAGAAGCGATAAAAATTTGTTTGAAACAATCAACGACAACGACATACCCGGCTTCAAAAAAGCATGTCTACTTCTTTGAGTCCCATAAGTTGAGCTCATCCTCGAACACTTCTGCTTTATTACCTCAGGAGCTTCGTCATTCACCCACCATGTACAATTGCAATCCTACTCCAACTGCAACATCTTTCCTGCATTCTGGTTACAAAAAACGTAGGACAATATACCCGTATTGTCTCGCATCGCTTTTACAACAGGAAAGATGAACTCATAAAAAAAACTAGAAACCGGGGAAACAGGCAACTTCTTGAATCCAAGCAAAAACACCCCTGCTCCAAAAATTTCGACAATATACATCCTCGGTACCCTAGCTAGTAGCGGTACTCTAGCTAATTTGTCCCATCACACAATTAACACGTTAATTCACTTCAACCTCGTTTCGTCAGTGTCTGCTCCTAATCATATCCAGGTTTCTGTTTCAGAAAATCAAACAATTTATACCTTATACTTCCATGAAACAACTTGAATGAGTAACAGTCAACTTCGCGTGGATTATATCACGCTACCTTCAAATAATCTTAGAAACAGGCAATCACGACCTGTTCAGAAAAATAAAATTATCAAGGGCAAGAAGTAAACTAACTGGAAGTGCTTAGAGTTACTGAAAGAAAAACGCTTATTTTACTTCTTACAAAAACTTCATCAATAAGGAGCACAACACATGGATAACAGAACTGTGCAACTGACGAAAAATGCACGCATACAGGCATTCAAGCATAATGCTCTGAATGATTGAGGATAAGAAAACGAGAAATGAAAACACCACTTGAAAAAATAAAGTATAAGGATGAGTACCTTGTTACAAATTTGTTACATATTCTTGATTCAACATGCCTTTCTACATCAAAGCAATGTAAACATCCCTTATGGAAAAAATTCAGTTTTTTTCTTGGCTCAATTACACAGAAAATCACGTGAACAAATTAACAGAAGACATATAAAAATCTCAGCAATGTAAACACTATTAAAAATAAAACAGAAAAATAGAACAGAAAGCAATTTGTGACTTATCGTCGTATCCGCTTCTCAGCTGGGAAATCGCCACCCATTGGTGGTCCACGATGAAAACCTCCTGGTGGCCCACTTTGCATTCCGAAATTCCCAGGTCCCATTGGTCCCGGTCCCCCTGGTCCTCGAAAACCACCAGGTCCAGGACCGCCTGGAGTACCAAAAGAAGGTGGCTGCAAGAAAAAATACAACTCTTAATAATATGAACTATGAAAATAAGGAAAAAAAGGCAATCTGTGCTAAAATTTTATTAGAGTGAAGAATTTGAAATGGCGCAACACCGTTACACACAATACAATCTAGACAAGTTTCTTACAGAAACTAGACCTCCTGCTTTATATTCACGAAAAGGGTAAAAGGGTAGCAATTTGTCAATAGAGTTTTAAGCAAGTTAGCAAGCGACTAACTCGCAAAATATTCATACAAAATAGAACATACCACTCCCTGTTGCGGTCCACCAGGTCTTGGGGCATCAGCACGAAATATCTGTAGCAATTTCTGGACGCCTTGTACGAGCGTCGGATCTAAAAAATTTTTGAATAACGGACCGTTATAATGAATTTATGACAATCCGTGCTGGTAAATATTATCGCACAACAAACCTCTTCAGTCAAAATATTTGATTTCATTCCAAAAGCAAAAATCACAAAAAGCAAATTTTGTGAGCAAATTAAGATGCTTTTAAAATCATTTTCGAAGGATATCGAAAAAATGCTTACCAGGGCCGCCTCCTTGATTGACATGTCCACCGGGTCCGCCTTGCTGGAAAGGTGGTCCCCTTCCTGGATTGTCCATTTGCGGTGGTCCACCGCGTTGCATATCAGGCGGACCTCGGCCTATCATTTCTTGTCCTCTTGGTCCTTCAGGTCCACCTTGTCCACTTGAATTGAATGGCCCTCCTGAAAACAAAGTTCGGACTAAGTTTTATCAGAACAAACACTTTGCTTTAAGACATAATCTTCCTCAGCATGATCAAATAACGCATATAAGCCCTTATGAGTCAGAACAAAATAAATGCGTAAAATAAAGTTACGGAACTCCGTAAGTGACAAGACATCATTAACCAAAAAACATAAACAGCAGAAAAAAATTACTGTGTTGCGAGTGCGAACCTCCTCCGCCAGAACCGGCAACGAAAAATTCACGTGGTGGTGGCCCACCAGACATTCCACCTGGCCCATTCGCCATACCTTGCGGACCAGATGGTCCACCGGTTAAATTACCCAACAGGGTAGGCATTTCACCACGACGTGCCGCTACCTGTGCCATACGCTCACGTTTTGCAGCTTCTAATCGCTCAAGCTCCTGTTGACGACGTGCGAGATCTACAACAGAACAATATAATGCAACGAAAATTTATATTGTTAGTTCTGAATTTCAATAACACTTATTTTATGAAATACAAAGGACATATTATGACAAATAACGACACATTACGTAAATTTATTTCGGTTTACTTTGAAATTATATTATTTTGCAAAACTTTCAGTTCCCGTCATAAAAATAACTAATCCATATAAAAAGCATGGGAACAAAGTAATGGAACGGTTAGAAGTTCGCTGTAGTGGTACATTCTGGTAAAACCCTTTACTCGTTTTCGTAAACATTGTACGCTGCATAGTAATCACAACGCTTTTCTTTAAAACACAAATTTCGAACCGATAAAAAATCACTGATATTACGCAAATATTATCATTAAGGTAATCAGTAAGATATGACAAAGATGATGCTATATCACATAATTTCGAATTATATCAACCATAACTGCATAATGATTATTTCATAACGTTGATCGATAAAGAGGAAAAGGGGAAATAATAAAATTCGGGATGGCATGAACTCAACTGACGTTTCAAAAGAATAATTGCTGGAAAAAAATATCCAATGTGGCCGAACGACTTTATGCAGATATTACTCCCTTTGCCTAATGATTTACCCACAGACGAAGGACCTTGCAACTCAGCCTCAATTGGTAAAACAATCAACGTGGTTTGATCACGTCAATATTTAAATATTTATCTTGAATGATCATTGCACAACCATTCCAAAATATTTCAACTTTCCCCAGGCAATTGTGTATTTTAAAAAGGTATAATTTTAAGTTAATTTTCTATGCAAAGAAAGTAAACCTTTAAGTTACCTTTCTATGCATATGGAAAGGTTAAGCGCGTGAAATCTAGGACCACAATGAAATATACCGAAATGTTAGTATGAGCTTCGACAAGGAAACGTGAAACATTGTTACAGCTAAATTGATCCTTAACCTTTACCTTCGATACCCTTTACAAAAACAAAGCAGGAGGAAGTAAGACAGTTGGAAGAGGAGAGAAAAATTATAGCGCTTCCTCTTCAACAGTTATCGGTTTAACGATTTATAGTTGAACTGACTTTGCCCATCAGATATTTTGGACAATAAAAGGCTCTGCACATCAGACTAGCAGAACAAAATGATATCTGCATAATCAAAAATTAGCCATTCCACTTTTTAATTTCCTTCTCATAGGAAAAAGAACACTTTGATATTCAGAACAGAACAGAAAAGGAAGTGCTGTCCAAAGTCGATTTCACATCACTTTCTTCGAAATACTTTTAAAAATAGCGAGGGTCTTATCTAAACTGAATTAAAAATGAAAAAATCAAATCCGAAACAAAAATTTGATGAAAAAATAACTTAAAGGATTTCCGAACTAAAGCAACAATCTTCCACATTGATGTAAAAAGGATACACGCTGTAAAGAGGATACTTTACAGTGACAGCGAAAAGTGAAAGAGTGTAAAAACCTTGCCTTCACGGAGCAACTGAGTTTGATAATCCTGGTAAGCGAGATCCATATCAGCTTCCAAGCGTCTACGAGCTTCCTTGAGCTCTTCTTCCAGTTGAGCTCTACGCTGTCTTTCCACCTCATATAGCTCCTTCCATTTTAACCCGAATACGTATTCGAAGCTGTTTGCCGGTGGAAATCGTGGGCCCACTTCTCGTTCCCTACATAGTAACACTTGCGCTACACATATTCACTTTTCGCAACATTATTATAATATTCACTACGCATCTCTATCTCTTTGGCAGACATTGACTTTCTAACTCACAAAATAGTCATACATTTAATTTAAGCCAATAAACAACGATAACAATGATCGCCGCGTGGCATTTCCATGGTAGCACTTCAAGTAATGCGGTACCCCCTTTATGTCAATCACGATCGTTTTGGCCTTACGGGCAACACAGATCTTACAATTTATTAAGCATTAGGGTAGATAAAAGCTTCCAAAAACTTGCGCATGGTCTCACGAGAAGCGCTCTAAACGACACACTCCGTAGTTTTTGCAGCTACCCCACTTTCTATATCACGCAATAGCTAAGATAATCCCGCACTACAGTTCTTATCCGAAACATTCAACTCCATTTAATTCTTGTGAGCTATTGGGTAAAGCTATGTCGAAGCGATAAACTTCAGAAAATAAGTGTATTAAGAAATAATGCAACTTCGAAGTTTTGTGAAATCCGAACCACCTGAGCATTTGAGAATGACCACATTGTCATAGCTGCACTCCACTTTCATCCCACCACCCTTCTTTCAACTAACAAGGATATTTTATTCATCCTCTACACTGCACACATCACACAAACACAATCGAACCACACTCATTCGTCCCGTCACAAAGTGTGGAAACAATTTTGAAAAGTCGCTAATAACTTGAAATTAAGGGGTTCAAACATCATTGTGAAGCCTGAAATAACCATATTAAAACAATGAAAAAATTTCCCAAACCACTGTATTTTATAATGTAAAGAAAATTATAAATAATTCCCGAGAACATTATAACTGTAAAAGTATCACCGTAGGAGTAACCTGCTAACCAGCCACTTAACGATGGCCAAAACCACACTTCGATTTAATTCATTCCGTTTCAAAAGCTTAGAAAGCTGAGCAACAACCTACAAATTATTTCGACCAGCTGACTAACCATAAATCAAAACTTCAGTAACGCTACAAACACTTGACATGCACTACAGATTAACTACAAATAAATGAAGGTGGTGTAAAAAGCCAAGTGCACTCAACAAAAGTTCAATAGAAATCAAGACATTTTCGAAAGTTCTACTTGAAAATCAGATGGCCTTTTTCTTCCCAACAAAATGAGAAGCGGTTAAAACTCTCTTATCAGGCGATTTCTATTTTCTCTACGCTATGCCTAAATACTATTATGATACATCGAATATGCATATGTAAAAAGAATCTATTGTAACAGAATATCGGTGCAAATTAATGGCTCTTTTAGCTTCGAGGAAGTTTAAATACATTTCTCAATTAGTATAGCAAAGTTTCTAAATGCTTGTTTCGCGTACTACTACAAGGAAGTGAAATTACAACCCTTTACAAAATCTTGGAACAGAGATGAAGCTAACTCAATCTCAACAGCTCCATTCGTCGACAAATTCATGAATGGAAATAATCCATTTGAAAACGATACGATTAATGGGTAATAAATTAATAGTTCTCCGAATATTCAATGCAGTGCTGTTATTCGAAGCGTAGCTGCACACTATACACGACTGAGCATAAAATCTCGAAAGAGGCTTACGATACCAATCGTCTACTCATTCCTTGAACCTCTCCATTTGTTAAGCTGTTAGTGCAGAAAGGAATCCATTTCGAGTAAGAAATATTTTATAAGAAACTCAATACTTGCTAAAATTTCTTGGAAAATGCAAGATTATTTCCCAGAGGTGAACTAAACTACGAGCAAGATAGTTAAAACAACAAATGAACAATTTCCCCCGGTTGTACGACTTTTAAAAAACCAATAAACTTGAAGCTTTTCTCCAAAAAAAAAAAAAAAGAAAAATATCCGCTACCTTCCATGACTGTATTTTAAAATTAACCAAAAATGAAAGAATTCAGGATATAAAAATGATCTTTAAATTCATTCCGCAGCAAATGTCAGTCATCTGATAATGTGGCCTGATCCATTCCCTAATTTTTCAATTACAATTTCTGCTATCGATTCTCTGGAAAAGTGGAAACAGTGGGATCAAATGGAACGATATAAATCCCACTGACTTTATACTTCTTTCCGGTCAGAAAGTTGCTCTAAAATGAAGATATGCATAATTGTGGTTTACTTAGAGCTCAAAACCTTCCACTACAAAATAAAAGTAGAACAGATCGTGCAGATAATCAAGTCCATTCAAGACAGCCATATAGTCATCAATTTTATATCATCCTTCGCAAATTTCAGTTAATAAACAGTCTTATGTAGATTATCGATCAGATGATAAGCACAAGAGTGTGTCTGAACAATACCAAATCCTACAATGCCACCTTTCTATTCCTTTCCACAATAGCTTCTTCCTTATGCAAAGCACACAGAGTGAGTCCAATTTTACCATTCATAAACAATAAAAAGTCCACAAACGAAACACAAAAGAGCAGTTCACAAAACAACTTATTGATCTGTTTATTGAAAACAAATTGTAATGACTTAAATTCTCTGGAAGTTATTAACTACATAATACAGGTTCGAGTAAGAAAGCCACATATATGCATATCTTCATGATTCAGAGCATATCCATTACTGTGAAATGTCGAAAAGACCAAATAATTTAATTAATTGCAGAACTTGGTCAAGAAGCAAAACTAAAAATAAAAAGAGTACTTTTGAAGCATTGCGCTGCGCTGTATCATACGTTCGGCGAGACCATCGTCTTCATCACGTGGCTCCAACATCTCCACAACTAACGGTTTCGGACTTCTGTAAGGTGTTTTCAAAAATCAGACGAGAACAATACTTACTTTTCCATAACCAAAAATTTATGATTTTCGGACCCATTTTTTGACTACTCGAACCGAACAATGATATCACGAAATACTTGCAGTAGTCCGGAAGAATATTACATTTACTCTTAGTTTTTGAAACCGCAATGCAGAGTAGCAATTTCCTGAATACGTGAACAGAGAAGAAACTTACGCCGTTAATAAGAATACTTTTTCCCGTATCTGATGAAGTGCCTCATTAGCCGATGGCTTCCGCTCAAATTCTACAATCCCTTCTCCGGTTGGCTTGCCCTTTTCGTCAACTATATGAACTGCTCGTTCTACTTCACCAAATGCCGAAAATGCATGATAAAGCATTTCATTCGATACAGTTGGTGAAAGTTCCTTTACTCTCAACGCTGCACCATGGACCGCAAATCGTACACGAACTGGACGTCCATGTATTATTTTGCCATCAATAGCTTCTTTAGCACTTTCTGCATGAGCACGTGTATCCTGAAAGAGATTTGGAGAAAAGCAAACTTTCACGATATGGAATGGATTGAACAGATTAAGTCGAAACCGAACCGATGATGACGAAATGTGAAGCGAACTAACCAATCGTAAAAAAGCAAATCCTTTGCCACTCAGATAGCATTCGGCGATGTCGCCGTGAGGTGCGAAAAGTTCCTTGAGTTCTTGCTCTTTCAGATCATTCGGCAAATTACCAACAAATAAACGGCATCGACCAGTGAATTTCTTTTTGGGTAAATCACTCATCAGATCAGTTTCACTAAACGCTTGCCCGGAAAGGACATTCATCGAAGACATCATATTCATTGGTCCTCGACCACCACCACCACTGCCTGGCCCCATCCCCATCCCACGATTCGGTTGTCCACCAGATGGTCCTCCCATGTTACTTGAAGAATTGTTGTACTGGTATTCACTTGATCGATGATGATGCCTTAACATTGTTGCCATTAAAATACGTCGTTCCTAGACAAATAAATAAAAGACGATAACTATTTAAAAGGTGCATATTCTACATATGGAGAAGTAAAAGTGTGTTTTCATTCGCGTCTAGCTGACTGTCATTTAATGCCATGTGATCCAGACTCTTTGATTATGGTTTCACAAGAATTTTAACGTCACTGTACTATATCTTTATACAGTGTTTGTATTTAACATAGTTATATTAGCACTAATGCAATATCGTCACTGATCCAGAATAATGGAAAAAAAAAACCTTTCGTTGGAAGATGTTCGGCCAGTACGATCACGCTCATTTCTCTCTGCACGCTCCTCCTTTGCAACATTACGTGGACTTGCATTGCTACCACTAGCTGGTCTTCCACTACTCACGCTGTTCCGTTTTATATCACCATCATTACGTCCTCGATCACTCATTCTGTAATATCTTTGTTAGACCTACTTTTTACGTTTAACTAACGTAAGATAAATATGATTGGATGACATCGCTCGGTTGACGTAAGAAAGGGATAGGTGTCATCTAACTTATCCCACCTCTTGTCAACCAAACGTAAGATAACCCGCAACCATGCAACCATACTCGGACAACAGCACCAACTCTCCCTATCACTCCACAATGACCACCAACCAATCAATAAGTCAGAGAATAGTTTCAAAACGCAAGCGATCTCAAATACCACATATAATAGCTCTAAATCTGTTCTCTAAGCTGACCGTGAAATACCGATTAATGCGGGATAAATATGGATTGATACCAGGTTGGTCGTGACACTACGATCAGTCAGACATCTGGTGTACATAATCTTCTAATCTACTTACGTTGTTGTTTGAATAAGCTGAGCTCAATTCCGTAATTCCGTCAGTTTTTAATTTATTGCTTAACCATTGCATGACAGCAGTTTTCAGGTCATATTACAAGTATTCACTGCATGACTGATCGGTTGATTGACGAAGCATCGGCAGAAATATTCAGCAGTGACGCGTCATACTATTTTCTTCTCCTCCCAAGCTTAATTCCAGGTTTATTTTTACAGAACCATCTAATACATACCTCCATGTATCTCACACTCTTGCTAAAAATACTTCTTTATTAGTAAGATCCATAAAACACTCATCGTATTTGAATTTCTGAGTAGTTCCCTGATGAAACTTGGAAAGAATTCGTATCATCTATTGATCATTCTAGTCGTTTCCATAGTCATAGGCGAAATAGATTATTGGTTATTCTAGGGTTTTCAATCATCCTCATCCATTCACTTTATTGTTAAACTTTTCGATGTTGCTCATCTTTTTTGCATTCAAGAAATTAAGGTTCCAAATAATAAAACAAGCAATCAGTTTAGCAAGATAATTAAAAAAAAGTGGAATTTCAGCTATACTGATTTTTAATTTCCTTATTTGGTTTGGATTCGAATTTTTCATCAACAATTAATAATTACCAAATGACAATATCGGCATACCTCGAATCAACTTTTCCTGATCTTCCAATTGAAGTCAAAGATTACGTTGAAGGTGTCATTTTTCATTCCAATTATTAACTTCGAAAATCAACTGAAACGACCACTTTTTGTATCTGCTTATTTCATGAAAATAAATAATTATTATATTTGCAGCAGTTTTAAGGGAAAACGCCGATGACTTACTGTCGAAAGACGATGTTATTGAGGCTGTTGGTGTGCACATACAAAGTTCTGTGGAGGGACTTAGCGATGAGGCTATTGAACTTGTATGTGAAAAGCTTGCTTTATTGCTTCATAATGGGTAAGCTTTTTATGCGACAGACCCTATTATGGTTGCTTTAGTTTACTTGTAATTTCTGCAATTCGTAGCATATAAAGATCTTCCAATTTTAATGGTTGAATTTTCAGAAAAAATGTTACTCACCGATCAAATGAAATCGGCCGGCGGCGTCTTGAACAAACTGTTGATATAAGTGCCCAACATTTCGATTCAGACGATGTTACAAGCATATGGAAAGTTAGTACGCGAGACACACCTTCAGTAAGTCGCATTACTTCTTTGACTTCACGAAAGTTAGAACGCAATAATCATGGAAATCATAGCGATAAAATATATTGCAGCAAGTGGATAGGAAGAAACTTGAAAAGGCTGAAACACGTGCCTTAGAAAAGGCTACAAAACGTGAAATTGGTGATGGTTCGAACACGCAGAAAAGGAGACCAACAGATCTCGTGGCTACAGCTTCACAGTCAACAAGTCGTCGTGATGGTTCTGGAGGTGGAAGTATAATGGATGTGCATCTTAACAGTGTTGATATATCAATAGGACCCAAGTAGGTTGCAACTTTTGATGCTTTCTAAAATTGAAAATTGTTGCGAGAAAGTTGAAAAACTATTTTGAATGCCAAAGGCATTCAAAATCTTTCAAACAGTTCGTTCATTGAGACTCAGTAATTTCTGCTTTGCTGTTTTTATTGTTCTTCCAAGGAGAATGTAAATACAGCGGTTTCTTAAATTTTGCAGGCAGTTATTGTGTGGTGCTGATGTTGTTTTAACTTATGGTCGACGTTATGGCCTGGTTGGTCGAAATGGAGCTGGGAAGTCTACTTTTCTGAAAATGATTTCCTCGTAAGTTTTAGAGTAAGATATTTAAAACTTTCATTTATTGCAAACAGTAGCCATCGTTGATATAGCAGTCAAAGAGCTTACAAGTTTGTACAATTCTTACACCTTACTTTACTAACATATATTGCGCACCAACCATAGTATGCTGTTTATGTTGTTTCTTTTTCAGGAAACAGCTAAAGATTCCTTCCAATATAAGTATGTTAAGTGTTGAACAGGAGGTAGAAGGCGATGATACAGAAGTAATACAATCTGTGTTGCAAAGCGATACTCGAAGGATGGCATTGTTACTTCGCGAAGAAAATTTGCAGCGACTTCTCAAAGAATAAGTTTTATGGACATCATATCGATTCATTACATAACAATATGAATAAAAAATGGGACATCTCATTGAATTTTGACCATTTTCATTCTCATATTTCTTATTATTAATTCCGAAAATTTGAGATAGATCTAGAAAACTACCAAATGTTGTCGTGGGAAGTTTGATGACTGATTTTTGTTCCAGATCTCCTAACGATGAAGATAAAGAGAAATACAGTGCTGAACTAGGAAAAATTTATACAGAAATGGAGGATGCCCAAATGGCCAAAGCACCTGCACATGCTGCTTCAATACTTTTTGGACTTGGTTTTACACCAGAAGAACAGAAACAGCCCACAAGGTTCCTGTTGTTTGTAATTGTTTCCTGGATTATTTTCAGCGTTTCTACTTAAAAAGCTTTATTGATAAACTTTCTTTGCTTTCCCTTCCCATCTACGAATTTAAGGTTTTTTTTCCTTTAAATGACAATTTTCAGAGAATTTTCGGGTGGTTGGCGAATGAGATTAGCGCTGGCAAAGGCGCTGTTCATGAGGTGTGTTGCATTTATTGTAACTTTATCATTCTCTTTTTGTAGGAACTCACTTTTTAGATTTTTTGCAGGCCTAACTTGCTTTTGTTGGATGAACCAACAAATATGTTGGACATGCGAGCAATTATTTGGTTAGAAAATCATCTTCAGGTATTATTCATACTTTTCGAATCCTATTTGGATTTTTTTTTTCAATTCCGTATAAACTTTGATTTTGAAATATGATTTTGGTATGGTCGCTCCAATATGTTTTTGGCTTCGGAAAAGGTTTTTTAGACAAAAGATAACCACCAGATCCACTAAAGTAAAAGCTTCAGTTGACCTCCCAGGAAGTCGGCGTTTGGCCGCGCTTGTAGTAGACTTGATGATTTTCAGTAAATAAAATTAAGCGACAATATGTTTCTTTTTTCCTTTTTGAACTATAAATTATGTATCATTTGTTGATTTATTATTTATTTGGCGAAATAATTTCCAGGAATGGGCTTCTACAATTGTGATAGTTTCTCATGATCGAAGTTTTTTGAATACTGTTTGCACGGATATTATACACTTGCATTCAAAGAGGCTAGATCAGTATAAAGGTAATTATGCCGTTTTCGAGAAAACAATGAAAGAAAAACTAACCCAGCAAGAAAGGTTTGCTGTTTTCATGTTTCAGTTTTTATTTGTTTTATTAATGCAACTAGTTACACTTATTGTATCCCAAGCTTCGTTCTTTTCGCTAATTTTCGGATGTGATCCACATGTTTTGATGAACATTTTCAGAGAATATGAGGCACAGCAGCAGTTCCGTCAGCATACCCAAGAATTTATCGATAAATTTCGATACAATGCTAAACGAGCATCGATGGTTCAAAGTCGTATCAAAATGCTTGAGAAACTGTAGTTCTTTTCTCTTAAATATTGCTCTAAAACTTCATAAACCAGCAACTTTTTTTTTATAATTTAATAGGGGATGAATCATTCAGTGTATATAGTTTTACTGTCATGGACTATAAGTGCTGTAATGAATGGTTTCTACTTTTGATGAAGAGTTTATAACTTACTACTTATTTTTTTCAGACCTATACTTAAACCTGTTGTTCTGGAAGGTGAAGTGAAGTTGAGCTTTCCCGACTGCGAAATACTAAATAATTTGGTGCTGCAATTAGACGATGTCTCTTTTAGGTAATTTGGCGTAAACCTAGACGATTCCATGATTAAATTATATAAGTTAAAGATGGCCATCTAAAATATTTTCAAGATATTCTTGAAACTACGAGGTAAATTGTATGTGCGATTTCTCTTGAGCCATTTTTTAATTGTTTAAATGATACGTGAATCGTTTCTGCTTATTTCTATCTTCGTCAAATTTTTACGTTCCTTCACTGAGAGTAGGATGGAAATAATACACATCCTCAGACGTTTGATATCCTTTATTGCCTGATCTGTATTTTAGATATACGTCAGTTTCACCAATTATATTTACTAAACTACAAATTGGCTCATATGCGGATTCACGCATTTGCATTGTACGTTTGTTAATTTTGGCAAGTAGGGTTCTTATAAGATATTTAAAAATTCCGATTCAAATGGAAGGAAGACGGACAAGCTGGTTATAAATTCCGACTCCGACTGGTTATAAATTTGTTCTGAAATTCAGATTCAATTGCAGGTTGGAGAAAATGGATCTGGTAAAACGACACTACTAAAATTACTTCTTGGCGAATTATCGCCAACAAGCGGTTTCCGTAATGTCAATCGCCGCTTGAAAATAGGGTACTTTTCGCAACATCATGTTGACCAGCTTGATATGGATATATCCGGCATCGAAGTGCTGGAGAAAAGATTTCCGGGTATCTTACTCATCCCTCGTTAAAATCTGTTCGAACACTCTTTAATTCATTTTAGTCGAGAAAGATTTCCTCTTCATTTTAAAATAACACTCTTACACTACTTTTATAGGTAAAAATCAAGAAGAATACAGAGCCGCCCTTGGCCGTTTTGGACTCTCTGGTGATTTAGCGCTGCAATCGGTCATAACTCTTTCTGGAGGACAGAAATCTCGTCTCGCTTTTGCGAGCATTGCTATGTCAAAGTATACTTCGCTCAAGTTTTGCAGGGTCATGAAAATCTTTGCAGTATCATGAGGCGTTTTTTTGCCCAACCTTGGAGTGTCTTTTCTATGTTTAATTACTAATTTTTCTTGCAGCCCTAATTATTTGATTATGGATGAACCTACAAACCATCTGGATGTAGAAACGGTCGAAGCATTGGGTAGAGCGCTAAACTCATTCAAGGTGAATATTTAACTCAGTTACATTACTCACTTATATTTGTGCTGTTGACGTGCTGTTTGATTTTGGTGAGTTTAATCCGAACAAGTTACTCTATACATAAGTACACTGACTCATGAGTTTACTGTGTGTACGTTGTTTATATTATAAATTTGCAGGGAGGAGTGTTGATCGTTTCTCATGACGAGAAACTCATTGATATGGTTTGTAAAGAACTGTGGGTAGTTAAAGATCGTTGTGTGATGACACTAGAAGGAGGTCTAGAAGAATATAAGAGACATGTCATGACGCAACTCGCCCTGTGATGAAATTTCTTGACCTAGTTGTTGTAATTACATACTTCGAATGACTGAATCCCAGAAATAAATTCACGACGAATCTTTTTTTAGGTTGAATATGCTTTGCAATTATCACGTACAAATGATCAACGCTATTTGTTTAAAATTATGCTAGTTGGTATGGAACTGCTCATACCAATTAGCGTAATTTTTATAGCTTTTAATAGATATACTGTTCCCCATATGTTCTTGAAACATATAACCAAAATAAACAAACACACTGCTTTATTATTTACGATAGTCTGATTCTAAAATGCTTTTTGTAGTTTTATAGATCGGCCGCATTAACCTGAGTTATTATTCACATTGTCATTTGTTCGGGTTCTTTTCCAACTTCCATGGTAGTTCGAGCTATTTTGGCCTTGTGTTAGTCCGATTATTCTTCAATTCTTAAATGAAAATCACTATAATGTAAGGAGCAACAAAGTCCATCAAAAACCATGGAATAGTAGTAATGTAAGACTTTTTAAATAATATTTGCTTAAAAAGCAAATATTCTGAGAAGGATCAAACAAGAACAATTAAATTAATGATGGAAATGAAGGCGACTCATAATAAGCAGCACCACTTCTTCCGTTTCATTTCGCGTCGTTTCATTTTTGCGGCAAACACATCAGCTACAATGTCACCAGGCACCTGTGAATAGAACAAAGACAGTTGCTTTAAAAGCGCGTTCATGCCTACCGGATGACGTAAAACGACACATTTCAAAGTATAACAAACAGATTGAGATCTAAATGCGCTTTGAACGCAGTAATATGTATTTCCTATAGTACGGAGATTAGCTCAAAAGAAAATATGTGTTCACCAATTTTATATTCCCGCTTCATCAATAGTGGAAGTCAAACTGTTAATCCATTTCACGTCTGATAAAAGGAGATCAAGTTAAGAGCCTACAACACTTTGAGTATGACACCAACCTGCGAGAAACGCAATGTTGATAATTCTTCTCGTTTCATAGCGGAAAGTTTATCGATAAGTAATGTCATGGTAGGAGAATAGCGATCATATTCAGCAACAGCACATGTAATTTGGAATAATTTCACTCTATCCAATGTATTCGCCTGCAATAGGTGGGCAAGACTTTATCTTCATGATTAAAAAGTTTCTCAAATCATTTTTGGATATGAAAATATACATCAAGGTGAAGTATAACAGTGTTCTAAGGGAATCTACCATAAAAAAAGAATTTTATCGATGGTTGCATGGGTGGTCGAGAAATTTTTTCAACTTAGTCCGCAATGAATGCGAAAGATTATACAGCGACGTTGTCTATTCGGATTTCCAAAACTTACACGAATTTCAAAACTTTTAATGTTAATAATCCTGTTGATTGTTATACCTGCCGAAAAGGAAACAGTATACTGAAACATGGAATCACCTTGAAGCATCTTAAAAAATCAAGTGTTAGTTTGAAGTAAGACATCAAAATTTGGACGACTGAAGTTTTACTGTGTGCAGTGAAACTTCCGAATACTTTCATCCCCAATTTACCTGTGTAACAATGACATTTTCACATTTCTCGATCACGGGTTTCATTCCAAAATAATGGGCCATTTTTAAAACAACGATGACGTTAGAAACTGCAATTGAAAATTGTTCAATTCTGTTAGAAAATGCTGTTGCAAAAGGATTGTACAGTGATACCTGCCTAAGGGATCGCAATAATACCCATTTTCTTTTGCACAACTTTGAAACAGAAAAAAAGAAATTCGACTAGTACATTGATACGGAATGGTAATCTCCACTTAGAGTAAAATTTCACTTTCAATGAATTGTATTGCAGTTTTTTGCCAACTCCAAACAGTTCTATTTCCACCGCCACTTCCGGGCTACAGTGTGCCAGTTATGTTAACAGTAACATTCCCATGGAAATGATGAAGATACTATCATTATCTATTTTGCCAGCAAAGCAGCTATGCCTGAAGTCATAGTAGTACCATGGAATAAAGAAGCTTAGTTATCATACCTTTATCAGATATCTCTTTAACCCATAGCCCCAATTACACTCTGAATGGCAATTTTGAGATAAGAATAAGAACGAAAAGAAACTATCCAAAGTGGTAAAAATATATAAAACGGATAGAATACTTACAAAACTATTGCTTACTACCCAACACTGCGTTATGCACACAGCAGTACGTATCACCAATTGGAGCAGGATGATGAACTGCACTACTACTATCACCACTGCATTCTCGAAGATTCATATACTGATAACCTTTTGAGTATTTCCAACAATGTTCCAATGCTAAGGCACCTACTTGTTCAGTATATCTTAACATTCTTGTCACTAACAAAACACTAGCTCTCAACTGATTTATAAAATTTATTAACATCCTGTCGTACTCTGTCTTTACTCTCTAACGAAACCATGATATCAATAAAACCGATATCATTTAAATTCCCTTCTTTTGCTTCCAATCATGTTGAAATTCTTAGCTAAGAATAAAAATAGAATAGAACAAAAAAGTAACTTGTTATGGGTTTGCAATTGGGACAATAGCACACAACTCTCAGTAGTTCGATGAAATGTTCATAGCTCACTTCATTGCTGAGGATTAAATTTTCACCCGCATTTTTACCAAAAAACATCGTAGCGAAAAAATTTGAAAATTCAGCAAGCCAACCAGGATTTACAAATACTGAGCGACCTAAACATTAAAATTTTAATATTCCAGATAACAATATATTTGCATCTCTTACTAATCATATTAATATTTTAACTTTTCAACTTTTAACACGCCATTTCTCCCAAGTGTGATAAAAGTATATCTAGAACCTTCTATAATGATATGCAAACTTTCAGGTAAAAGAAAAAGAACCATGAATCTCGATCTATTTTCTAGATAATGGAAGTTTGATCAATGAGGAAAAAATATGATAGCAAACAATGGAGTGTAGTATACAAAGGATTACCCATCTATCTTCTTTCAATGATAATGTATTACTAAAAGCTTCAAATTTTTTTACCTTCAACAATTACTCGAGCTGATCGAAGTGATGATGGAGTTGAGAAATCATCGTAGACATATTTAGCCACTGTTGTCATCGTTGAATGAGTTGAGTTTACAGTTGAATACATGCTTTGATTCACAAGATCGATTACTCCTAACATCGATTACTCTTTTACTATCATCAGTAATCATAAACAGAGTATTTTTCAGTCACACTGTCTGTTTCTAACTGCATTGCTTTATCATCAAGTTATACCGGGCACTTCTCATGTAACATCACTTATACAATATTGATTGCATAAAAGTGAATGTATCGTTAGTTTGAGGGACTATTTGATCATATCGTAATGTTATCAAATGAGAAAGTTAAAAGCCTAAGCCTCCAAGACATAATTGCTAATTAATTCGAATTTCGAAATTAATTTTCCTCTCTTGCATTTAATGTTTTCTCAAATAATTGCTGGTTTTTTCCTTTTTGTAGTTCAATCGATTTATTTTCTCTCAAGATTATTAACAGGAATAGATCGTGTAATAATAACTTTACTGAAATACTGGCAAGATTTTAAAAGAATGCATAATTTCAAGAAGGAAATACCGCACTTCCCACCTTCTCATCCTCTCTTTTCATCCCTACTCTCTCCATCTTACTTTTCCCAAATACCATATACCTCTTCGCCTCCTCCTCTCTCTTAGGAATTGCTATACGGTCCAACCCGATCGTTCGATATGCAAAACAAATGAATCAATCAAAGGATGCTACTTGGAGCCATCCCATCGATAGATCAATAAAATGACGTGGTACTTGGCTATATATTCTTCATTACTCCCTTTAGGGTATCCTTAGTATGTCTGCACATACGTGTCCGCACGAGTCTGTACGAGTGTGTTCCTGTATATACATGTATATTAGGCTAAATGAGGTGAGAGCTATCTGCTAAATAGAGGTAATCTCTTTCTTTAATGTTCATATTGCATTAACATCAATCACTTTTGCCCATCCCTCTCTAACAACTGGAAAGGGACATCTTCGCTTTGGAGGGATACGGTAGCAACAACAACAAATATGGTGTGATATGCTCAGTTCATTCCTCAGCATTAACTTATGGCAGGTCATAGATTATGGAAATATTTAAGTGTTCCAATAAGTGTTGTAGTTTTTCTTTTATTTTACTTCATTGCATATACACCAATGTATCAATGATAAGCATTAATTTATCTTCTTATATGAGTGATATCCATTATGTCTTATCACTGCTCTGAAAGATGTAATCACTTATCATGTGGAACCTTGGAGCAGTTTGATTAGTCTTAAAATATGTAAGTTATTAATACTTCTAATGAAATTTCCCTCGCTCCCTCTCCTTCTCTCACTCTCTTCAATATTGTCGCATGCTACAATTCTTTACCTAATTTGCATATTTGTATTTATCAATGTCAGTTATTACTTATTAGATGAGTATGAGTAAGGTATGCTTTAGGAGATCAGTAAGCCTGACAAGTTTTTCAGTGAGATAGTAAAGAAGAGTAAGAGAATAAAAGATACAGGAGGATATGGAAGGAGATAGCGTTGAAATAAAGAAAGTAAGGAAATGGATTTTGAAGTTAGGAAATGTGAATATGACCTTTGTTCAAACGACATTAGTCATTCGATAATTTGATTTCTAAGGAGACAGATCAGTTAAAATGATATGAATGTGACCCTTGTTCAAATGACAATAGCCAGTTTGTAATTCGATTTTTAAGGTGAGAGGTCAATTAAAATGCTGATATAATAATTGGAAAGGGGGGAATTTGATTTTAGGCATATATGAATATTTGAATATTTTTCATCCAATTTATAGTACTTCTGAAAGTTTTGAATAACTTTATCGCTTAGTTCCCGCATTTTCGTGATTACTTCAATTAATGCTCTTCCATAGCAATGACTACATTAACCTATGAATGGGAGGAGAAATTAGTAAAATTGTTGCGTAGAAAAAAGAGCGGCGGGCGGCGACAAAGGCGGGATTGCATTGCCATTTCCTCAGTAAAAGTTACGCAACATCTAGTTGATGATATTTGTTTGGTTACTGTGGGTTGTGCAACTTTAATTCATCTCTCTACATATTGATTGATTTATTGATCATTTACCTATTCTATTCTCTTCTCCCTTTCTCTCTCTCTCTCTATCGGGATATATTATTCAGGAAAGAATAAAGTTGCGGTCAGTGACATGTTATAAACGTGAAGTAAGGTTAGAAATATTCCCCGCTCTCTTGTAATGTAAGGTTAAACTGTAAGTCTAACCTGTTATCTAAATGTAAGCCTAACTTGTTACTCATTGAAGGAATAAATAACTACTCCATAGAAAAACTGGTGTATTTATATGGTCATGGTCAAATTTTGTGAACGAAGATTAGGGAAGGTTTCTACCCACACTTGTTATAAAGGCTACAAAAGTGGATGTATCCTTCAAGTCTGTACAGAGGATTTTTTAAATGAGGAACGGCGTGCACGAGAACTGGCTCTACGCTACTCCTAAGATTCATTTGCTAGAACTTAGCAAGCTAGATGGTAATGGTGAACTTTTCAGGATGTAGGTATTATTCGAGTATACTTGTCGTAAATGAGTAGCCTTATAGAGCTAAAAGAACTCCATCTCAGATTTGGAGTTAGACTTTCTCTTAAGGATGGTTGTTGGGAGACTAGTTCGTGAATGCATTTTGTCTGATTCTTCAGTTCAGATCTGTCTGCATTTATTCCCTAACAAAAGTGACATTTCCAAGCTGCCTGGTTTTCCGTTCAAGTATCAACTTTTTTGTCCTCCTTCGCTTCAAATGTTGAGGAATGATTGCGTTTCATCCTTTGCGCCTACCACGAAACTTGATGATTTCTTGTCTAAAGATATCAGTGTTGATTAATTCAATTTTTGTAAATTCAAATTCTTTAGGATGATGATGAGCCCAGCTTTCGCAACGACTTTGGCATATGATCCTACCGGCAATCCGTACCAAATGGCATATCCGGCCGGTGCAACAATTTATCCAACTGCACCGTTTCCGGTCCCTGCTGCAGCTGATCCTCGCACGTTTGAGATGATACCACATCGAATTTTTGTTGGTGGATTTCCGGCTACTGCAAGTTTCGCTATATTTTAACTTTCTAGTTGATTTAATTAATTAAATATTTAAATCATGTTGACCAGATAGTCTCCCACGTCATTTATTCACTTATTCGCTTATTTACTCATTTATTGAACTTATCTTTATATATGTTAGGATAAACTATTTGCAGACTACGGAACTTGATTTGCGTTTGTTTTTCGAAAAATTTGGTCATGTCCGTGAAGCGAAAGTAATTCGTAGCAGTGAGGGGACATCTAAAGGATATGGTTTTATAACGTTTGATACAGAAGATGAAGCAAAAACTGTCATGCAGATTAGCGCGGTAAGACACTTTGATATAATCGTGACATATGTCCTGCGAACAATGATTTCCAAAGTAAATTCGAGAATGCTAAACGATTATATATGTACTGTTAACATTTGGCAGAACCAGGAAGCGGAAAAGCTTGAATTCAAAGGACGTCGACTGAATCTTGGACCGGCTATTCGCCGTATGATTCATGGTCCGCGTTTCGCGCCAGGTGATTTAGTTTATATCTTTCCAAGATTTTTCGAAAGGTTTCGAAGTGAATTTTATTAGTATAATTAAATGAATATGGTTATTAGTGGAAGTTACGGAGCTAAAAATATAATTCCTTCAACTATGATTTGAGCTATTATCTTTATTGTTATTCATGGCTCTTACTGAAAAGAATATTCTTTGTTGTGAGGTCATATGCATTTTATAAAGAATGACGAACTTTGAAATGTTACGTCATTTCACGTTTTTACGTTATTTTAACATTTGTTGAGATAATCGGAAGAGATAAATCTCTTCTTATGGACGACGAAACATCTTGTCAACAAATTCATGATTAACGCGAAATAAAATCAATATAAGTTAATGTGAAACGATTTTTCCTATAGAATATGCTATTGCAACACCAACAGGACAAATACTAACTACATCAGCATTCGGAGGGGTTACTTATGCGTTGACACAATCACCATTTGTTGTGATGCCACCACCAAATCAGATGCAACCATTTGTCTACTCGCCGGTTTCTACTGTTGCACCAGCACAATATACACTTTCGAATACTGTAAGTCTCGTCAATGTGGAAACAGAGAGGGAGGGAGAAATACAGAGATTTTGCCAGTTTGCAATTGTTTACTACGGATAGCATTGTTAGGAGGAGTTCGTGATTTGTTATAATATACAGAGGAGAATGAAGTTTTTGTAGGACGCAGGGAATAACAGAGTTCAGCAATTCGTTGCAAATAACGCTACAGCACCAATGGTGCTTGTACCAAATAATGGTAATACGATAAGTCCACATGATTCTCCGCGTACAAATGGTATGAGTGGACAACCACAAGCAGTTAATGGTTCGGTGCATATTCCAGCTGCTGGACAACCACCACAGCAGCAGCAGGCATACGTGAGCATGCAGCAAATAGCGCAAGTAACTACTCAACCGCTTACACCAGTTAGTATTTTTTACAAATATGCAGACAATGTTGAGAGGCGAAATTTGCCTTACAGTTTAGTTATTTGTGTGTTTCAGATGACACCATCAATTGCTACACAGCGTGCAGCGCTTTTTCCACCACCAGCTGCTTATTATGCTCCAACTGCGCCTGCTAACGATATGACTCATTACTCTCAAATGACTGCGCCAACATATTTCTTTGCTCCTGGTGGATATCAAGCTGTTTGTATTACTTGTTTTGCTGTTTTGTCTTTCATTTTTAGAAGTTGTGGAAAATGAGAAGTAGTATTTTTTCAAGTAAAAAGAATGCCGTGGCCATCCTAAATCGCCGAAAATGGCAAATAATGAGACTAATATCGTCCTGCGAAAATAACGCTTGTGAAATGCGTTTTTATATAACTTCTGCTGTTTTAAATAACTGAGAAATCAAATAGATTGATGGGAGTGGACAAACTGCTGCGATGGCGATTCCAGCACCGAATCCGATTCAGTTGGTACCGCAACCGATAACACCGCAGACTCCGCAACCATGCTTCTATGACGAAAGTATGATTGGTGGTTGGCAAAATCCAGCCGAAGTATGTTCACTTTCCGAATTTTTATTCTAAACACTCCGAGAAAATTTTTGCAGTATTTTAACAGCACTATGGAGAAGGTTTCGAACTAACAAAGAGGATTAATTGTATTATATTGTTAGTGATTAGGGTGGTTTTCAGGTTCGTCCTACAAGTACTCCTCGACGTAGTCCGATGAAGTCAGTTGTGTCACTTCCAAATCAACTTGGTCAAGTTAATCTGCAACAATATGGTAAGTAGGTTCTTGGTAGACTTTATAACTCAACTGCTCATTCTTGCAAAAATTTCGTGATAATCCATTGTTATTCGTAAATGGCCACTCAGTAACTCAAAGCAGCTGTACAAATTGGGTGGGTTCAGGATAGCATTTTCCTGAATGCAGTCAAGTATATTGAAGTAGGAGTCGTAATGAGAATGATAAAGGTGATAATGATAATTTGCAGAACGCAAGGAATGTCAACAAGGAGGAAATGTTGCAGCTGCTACTAACAAGCAGTTCCCATGATATTAAATGCCAGTCAGCGAAAGTTGGGCATCTGCATGTACATTTATAAAAGACCTTGCCATAAATCATATCCTGCCAAATGGCATTTCATTTATTATGCATACATATATATTGTAATAATAGTTCATTCTCTTTCCCGTCAAGTCTGAGCACGTTTGACATGCTCAAATTTAAGTCAGTACTTGCGCCCATTTTGATTAAAGTCAGGTTGAGTTTCTCGCCCGGCTGACTGTTTCACTGTTTTTTCTTTTTTTATATTGTCTTGTATTTGTAGTATCTCTGATATTTAAAGTGACAACACCTTGTTACAATGTACATGACTTGAATTATTTCACTTTATTCCATAATTTATGACCTTTACAATTGTATTCGAAATATTGTTGAGTGTTTGGTCATATTTTGCATTATTGCTGTCATTTAGGTCTTGATCGGATGATTGACATTTGTATGTCTTCATCTTATTTCAGCCTTAATTTCTCCTTCTTAATTATCTTCAAAGATTGCATGGAGACTTGTCAGTCCAATATCTTTTTAACGTATTTAAATAACGGCATGTTTTATAGCAGATATTCTTTGTGGCTGCTTTTTTTTGCAAAAGTTTGTATTCTGTGAACAACATTTATGTATGCCGTACACTATGTTGTTTATGTAAGTTGAGATAATTAATAAATGTTTTTTAGCAGCATTACTGCAGAAGGTAAGACATTTATCATGTAAATGCTAGTTTGAAAAGTTTTCAACATCCTTGGTAGCAAAATGCATACAATTTCACTCTGGTGTTTTTATGTAACCTAGAAATCATGGATCGGGTTTGCTTGAATGATGCATTTTGTGGAGATCTAAATAAGTGTATGAGGGTGCCGGAAATGACATTGCGCTTTGCGCTTTCAGCCCAATTATGCATTCACGATATGTTTATTCGATAGTGATATGCACATTTTAGGAAGTTTTTTATACTTAGACAAATTTTTTTATATGTAGACGTAGAAGCGATTGTCGTGGATTTCTGTTGAAGTAATTTGCAGTCAGTCAATAGTTGGAACAAGCAGAGGGATTTTACGCGTTGGTTATCGAGGAGAAGAATATACAGCTTATATACGGAAAAAAGTGGGAGTGGTTTTGCTCCAACAGATGTGATTTAAAACAAAGATCTAAGACATGAGTGATGATTGCATGGATAGATAATTTTTTTGTACTTTGGTCTCTCGCGAAATTGGAATTCGCGACAGCGATCGACATGTGTTCTACATGTAGAAGCGATTGATAACATGTGTAGGCTTTAACTACAACTTATTATTACTTGGAAGAACATGAAAATGGGATGGACAGGAAAACTGATTGCGATGCATTGAGGCTACTTAAATATGTGAAATGCAGCATCACAAACAACATGAAAAACAATTTAACCTTAGTATTAACGGAAAATTAGATGTTATAAAGAACGCTAAAACCCTTTTATACTTCAAATTTGAAACATCACAAGTTAACATTTGATTGAGTAACATTCCTATCATTTCACTACCGTAATTCGGCATTTAAAATCTTCACAAAATAAGTTAATTTTTGATTGAGTAACATTCTTACCATTTCACTACCGCAACTCATTATTGGGTTATACTTTTTCATGAATTCTTATTGATTATCAGTTAAATCCAAACATTTACATAGTAAGAAGCATTCTATCTAACTTATATACTTAGCTTACTCTTAGACTACAACCACCATCTCAACCTGAAAAATGGATGACAGTTAAAAGCTTTAATATTTTACGTCCCTGAACAACATATTTCCTCTTCCCCATTTATGAGAAGTTTCAACATTTAAATACTTGAAACAATAACCTAACATGCCATTAGTACTTGTTGGTCATTAGTACATTAGTACAAGGCGTTTTTATCGTCTGTGATACAAATAATTTTCAACAAAGTGTTAAATGCTCTGTTTCAATGATATGATACTTGTCATGGAGGTGGTACCTTCTCTCCCAATGACACAACCAAAACTTCTTTCATCGCAATCTTCAATAATGAGAAAGATTTAGATTGAGAATGAACACTGATCGAAAAAGGATTCAGGATTCGTTACAGAAGGACATGTAAGGTATGAACGAATGCTTATTAATGATTGGCTTCTCTTCCTCAACAATGATCAGATTAATCTCAAAATTGGTTGTTACAAACGAGGGAAAGGTATGGGAAACATTGCATAGAATAGCTCTATCAGAAAATGACATTTATTCAATGCTTCTGGATTTTTGAAATTTAAAAAATTTGCAAAATTAGTGCAAGGATGCAAATAAATGTAGAGTGATGATAAATTGAAAGAACTATAACTGAAATTTTAAATATGCAATTCAAAAGAGATGGACAAATTGTCCTTAACAGTTAAGTACTTTTGTCCACCCAAAACTGCTTCACTTATCATTTTGATAGGCAATTCTCTTCATGAGAATTTCATTTTTCATTGGCAAATCTGGAAGTCGTATATGTTCAAAATTGATGCTTACCTGGAGTTTCAATAATTTTCAGGCCGTTTAAATTTTTCTGAAATCAATGAATATCCTTTCCTAATTGAAAAACAAGAAGAAATCTGTTGTGGATTTTTGTTGAAGTAATTTGCAGTCAATCAATAGTTGGGACAAGCAAGGGAATTTCTACACGTTGGTTGTAGAGGAGAAGAATTGGAGGTCACTTGGAGTATTAGCGGCACCAAGTTTGATGTGATGTGTGTGTGTGTCGTACGTTGTGGACAAAAGGGGAGAGTTGATACTTTACTTGTAAAGGGTAAGGTCACAAAAACGATACGATACTGCTGATAATGATGAAAAAAAATGAGAATCAAACAAACTGCTCGAGCGTAATCAAAATTGGTAATGAAAAGCTCAGTCGGTAACACTCAATTACATATTATATATGGAAAAAGTGGGAGTGGTTTCGCCCCAACTATTTCAACAGAGGTGATTTAAACAAAGATCTAAGACTTGATTGATAATTGCATGGACAGATAATTTTTCATACTTTGGTCTTTCATGAAATTGAAATTCGCGACATCTGTTGAGAAATGAAATTGATATAGCTACAAAATTAATATAGCTAGATGAAAACAGCTTAAATTAATGGTTTGAGAATGACTTTCTATGAAGTTCTGAAAATCGAGATTTTTTCAAAGATTTTCTTTCTCATTTTTATTCAATTTTGATGGCCACACGTCACAATTATTAATTATCCGATCTAAAAAAAAAGTGAAAAAAAAACTGGTTTCGGAACTTCCATGACTTCCTTTTCGTTTTATAAACTGAGAAAATGTAGTATTTGAAGATTATCAGCTCGGTTCGAAAGCGAAATTGAGATTTTATTTGAATTATAGGCAATAAAAATACAAATAAAGTATGAAAATGATTAGTTTGGAAATGTAAATTATAAAGAACAAATTTTGTTTTTCCAAAGTTTGCTTGTTCAATCAATTTAAAGTCAGATTTATTATTTGGAATTTAAGAAAAGAATAATAATGAGAGGAAATAAACCGACTAATTAAATGAATAAACAAATAAATATATCCAAAGAAAGAATATTCGCTTTGGAAACAGAAACGAATTGAATAACATTTAACCGCGATCAAATTTATTTAAAAAATAAAAAAAAACAATGAATTCCCAGTTCACATAAAAGTTATTTACATTATTTTGCTAAAAATCACATACCAAACTGTCGCTATAATATGAAATGACAAAGGAGTGGGGACAGATGTGCACGATGTTCTTGTCTCCTTTGACAATTAACCGTCTCTTTCATTACTTTCATGACTATATGATACTTTTACAAATTAATTCCAACATATTACTAAACTTGTTCATTTCAGCCAAATGATTATTTAACAAGAATAGTTTGTAAACGATGTTGAAACTATCATTAATCCTAATCCCACTGCATTTTAGGATACGACAAAAAGTGTATGATAGAAACATTTAGAATTGTTTCATTTTTCTTTATAAAACAAACAAGTTTATTTCTCCTCTGAAACCAAAAAATTATTCATCTACTCAAATGAATGATTTATTTTCAATAATTTCAGTAATATCACTACAATTCGAATATCCTAAATTAATTGAATCAACTAGTTTGACAATGCGAAACCAGACAGGATTGAATAGAATCTGTGTTGATGCAACACTCTGAAATATTATTATTATTTACGGAACCATACTGCCAACAAGAATACATGACGAACAGATGGAGAGTTGAACAGATTCAAATGAACTATCAACGAACACATTATCCTTCGAATTTAAACTCAAAATTTATTGGGATCACAGCAGTAAATCATGTGGACATAATCAGGTCAAAATTCTAAATGTTTTGACCCTATGGATATAAATTTACTATTTTTTTCTGACATTTTTAATATCTCAAGACTCAAATATGTAAATTTAATTATACCCGTGTTGAACTCCTTTTGTTTTCATACAATGATATTTACTAATGGTCAATTATTTATTTCAAAGAAGTAAAAGTGATGATAACAAAGGAGGTTAAAAATGGATTGATAAAGTTGTTGATCGTAATATTAAAATAATCCTGAAACAGTTTACTGAAAAAAGAATTATGCGAAGCCGAAACGATAATATGAGCAAAATAATTCAGAAGAAATCGTCCAAATTTTTGTTGATAAAGCGGAAACAAATTTCCTTTTGCAGTAAATATCACTGCTTCTACTTACTAGAAGGTTTAATCCTCCTCTTCTTATTCGATAACATAAAATATGAAGCAGTAGAAGTTCACGAAAAAAAGCAAAGAAATTTATGGTTCATTCTCATGAATAATTACTATTTTATGAATGCTGTTTCCCACTATATTTTTACAATATAATATGAAATTTGTATCAATTAAGCAGCAAATGACAGGAAAAGGGAAAATATATATCGAAGAATGGGAAACATAAAATTAAACATAGTCGTCACATATCCTCATTTTCTCTCTTCCCATGAACAAAGATCAATGAACTAAAATCAAAGATCATTCATTCAATAACTTCATCCTCACACGCTATAATGATTTTAACTGAAAATTTGTTGATGAGAATCACTCACATGAAAATGAGGAAAAGATGTATAAAATAAAATTGAAAGTATCGCCTCTACTGGAGGCAAGCGCCATCGCATTTCTTAGTGCACATGTGAGGTAAAGAAAAGGTAAACAGACGATTATTGGTAATGACAATGAAGAGTTTTATCATTGAATGGGGTCTACTGTTGAGCACATTTTTCATCTTTCTGCCCCCATTCTTCTACTCGCAGATACCCTTTCCGCTAAAAGTTTACAGATTATTGACTGTTTTCCACTACCACCAATAGCAGTAGCAGTAGCAATAGCAATAGCAATAGCAATAGCATTAGCTGCACTTTAAATTTTCATGATAGTTTTTGAACGGCTCCACAAGAAATTCAATCACAGCTATTATTTCTCATACCTCGACAAGTGGAAATAACGTAAAAATGTTCAGTAAACTATAAATTGTAAGGGCATAAACTTATTTTGAAAGTATCATGAGGGATACGGTAATTTCAATGGTTGGGTGTTATCGATGCTTACATGCCATCATCGGGATTGTCGCTGATTTGCGAGTAAAAACAAAGGAACAATAATCCTCTTTGTTGAAAGTTAGACATCTTTGTGTTATATGATCATATCGGTACGTAATTTCAAGTTCGTTGTTGCCTTAATAAATTTATCGTAATAGAGGTTTAATTATTCAAGTTTAAGGTACTACTACCCAAAAACTCTGTCTTTGAACTCTGTCTTTGTTACGGTCGAAGAAAATTGGCGACAGAGACATTCCCACAAATCATAGATAAGATGAAAATTCGACATATTTGAGGGATATAATCTCGTCTCATTAAGCAATGAGTAGAACCCATTTCGAATGATCTATTTTGTAGTTGTCCATCGTACGCTACGTGAATTAATTTGTGTCATGCATAGGTAACTAGTAATTCATAGCCGATATGAATCATTGGTTAAGTTCCATTCAAAATTTCCCTCTTTTCTCCAGTCAAAGCACAAACATACCATGAAAAGGTGTACGAATCACCGAGTTATTGAGAAGCCAATTAATGAAATTAATGCTACCGGTGCTCACTGCATAACAATTTCTATGCCAGTCAAAAGGAAATTATTTCCCAGCTAAATAATGTCAATTCAATTGTGAGATTCTGTGGAATCTCACCGGGACGGTAGTCCAGCTGAAGAGTGATGAGGGTTCGATAACTCAAGTTTACCAAATGTGTCACAAGCGATAAGCAAGCTTGAGATGATTTAAGCTTAGGGTTGGGATTGGGCTTAGATTCAGAACGATAGGAGCTCCGAGAAGAAATGACAAAAATCAGATTATAATTAGTCGAAAAACAGCTTATTTAAAAGTAAGTAAGCAACGGCGGTCATCCGGAAGACGACTAGAAGGGCGAACTGGAAAATCAGATTGATGGGAGTTCCCAGAAGATTTATGATTTCCTAATTTCTTCTGGTTTTTTTGGAAAAACAAAAAATAATTTCAGCAAATTATACAGAAGTTTAAACCAGAGAAATGAAATTGGAGAATTTAAGTGTTGATAAATGAGAGTCATATGCACTTGTGGAGGTATTAATATCAAGTGTATTTGTATGATAACTATTGACAAGAACGCATGGTGTGATACTGATTTAGTACATTAATGTTACTAATCAAAACTGACACAAACGAAATGTTAATCACATTAAGTAAATTAGTAAACGAATGGTGACAATATAAACAGTAGTCTGTACAGTAAGCATAAAGATGAGGATTTGATTAAATTCTTGCTTTTCATTTTGTATTGTTGCATCAAATATTAGTCCATTTCCGTTCAATAGTTTCATTTTCTACTTTGGAACTCGAATTTATTGTATTGCAAAGTATTTACATTTCAAGTATTTAAAATTTAACCGACTAAGCTATTTTTGGTAGTATCTAAATTGATAACGATGAGAAAGGTTGCTCACTGATAATACGGTAGCTCGTTATTACGGATTCTATGGCATTGCGAACTAGAAGTGCCACAAGACAACAATCCCCAAATTCCTCCTCCAGAAATATAATTTCCTTTCATCGGGAGTGTTGGAAAGCCCGAGGAAATCTACAATATGTTGAAACAATGAAAATACGTGTATTACAAATTCTCTCGAGTTTTCCGGCAGAAAGTAGACAGGATTATATTGAAACAGATTTCTCCTAACAAGCGGATGAAAAAACAGTAACGTAACGTACAACATTCTCCTAAACAGTAACGTACAACATTCCTACAAGTGGTTAGACGTCAAATGTCAATTTACAACAAATTTTGTGTTTCCAAAAGGAGAAATATTTGGTGGAAGAAGATCAGTATCAGATCTAGATAGTACCGAGTACTGCATTACACAAAGAGGAAAATGCATAACTAATATAAATATTGTTCCATGCTATGAGAAGGAAGCAACCAAAGATGCTTACATAGAATGATTGGGATTTTAATGGTCAGATATTTGCTTTTGGGTTTCTTATTGGCGTGAAGGAAAAACTGTACTAGTTAATGGACTAGAAATTCCACCTGGTATATGGAAAGCCCAAAGAGTAAGCATAGTAGTACGAGTAAAGACGGTGAGGTAGGAAATGCTCAGACAGAGACGCCTTGCGGGGAACTTTTCAATCAAACAATAAATGTGTTGTATCCTTTCGAAGCCAATGATGAACAAAATCCCGATATCAATGACGGAGGAAATACCGAGTACTGCACTACATAGTACTGCAATGCATATAGAAAATACCGAATATTGCACTACACAAACCGGGAAATGCATAACTAACACAAATATTGCATTCAAGGAGATAGCGTAGTCAAGCACTCAGCCATGACAATGGTCCAACGGCAAAGAAGTGGCGATACAACAGTTCAACAGCACGAGTGACAAGATTGCTTGGTAATCTTCAATATTTATTGTGTATTCTTCATTTCGTCCCCATTATGTTTCAGTGCGATATTGTATCATATCATATAAGACCAATGAAAGTTACTATCAACAGTGAGGAGTTACAATAACAAAATAAATCCACGAAATCTTTTCTGGACAATTATTTTTTTATTTATTTGTTTCTTTGGTACCACAAGTCACGAAGATGACATCAACGATACTAGCAAGAGCTACCTCGGTGGAAGGGAAGATCCTGAAGTTCTCAACGAAGCGCAAGAAATGGATTGGAGACAATGGGCCAACATATATCAGATGAAGAGCAATGTGAACAGTAACTACAGGAGGATAATTGATAACAAAATGAAAAGAATTGAATCATATGTTGGAACGCTGGTAAGTTCAACGTTAAATAGCTGGAAAGATCTCATTACAACGACAAAAGGGAGAAGAAAAGAAATATGCAGAGATGGTGCAAGACGGCAAGGAATATTGAACTCAATAAATGAAGGAAATGAAAATCTTGGCCACATACAATAAGGATGTTAAAGCCACGATTGAACGAATACAAAGGTCATAAAGCAAGCACTCAAATCAGAAGGCCGAAGGTGATTCTCTTGAAGAAAGTCCTCGAATCAGAAGGCGAGATGGTTCAGATGACTTGTCAAACAACAGTGAACTTACTCCATTACTGAAACTGTTCAGTGAGGTTATTAAAGAAATTTATCCTGACATGGATCTAAATGGTATAATTCACTATTTGTCCCATCAGGAAGCCATGTCCTCGAAGAAACCTATAACGAATATTATCAGCAACACTCAATTATCACTTAGAAAGCAAAAGAAGCCAGAAAGTGTTGGAAATCCGAAGAAATTTATATGTGGCCAGTGTTATATTGTCAACAAGTGGAAAAAGCGAAGCACTGGAGAAATATCACGAAGTAAAGTCTATCTTCGAGGAAGCAGCTATGAATATTCGCGAGTTTCTCTCCAACGACGAAAATCTCAATAAAGCGATACTGGAATACGATCAGATTTCAGTAGAGGTACTACAAACTATGATGGAACCGTGGATGACTTTGATGACGATAACTTGTGCCGAATAGACTTTTGACATATTTTTAACATTGATTCAAATCACAATCTTTTTAATAGCTTGATATAAAACAGGACGACACACAACATAATTTTTAAAATTGGAAGCCCGCACAATGATACAAAGATATTTGGAGAAAATGAAACAATTATCCATAATAATGGTAATAATAAAGAGGGTAAATGTAGTACGAATAATAAAACCATATGGAGAATAATATGGGAAGCCTCCACCGGGCCCTCAAACAACCCCCTGAAAAGAGTTCGAAGTGCTTGTAATCCTTGGCGAAGCGGAGTTTGCGTTGATTGGTTAGGTCGATTTCTTCTTCGACCACTTCCACCAACATTAAATCTCCTTATTGGATTACCGTTGTTGTTCAATGACTTAAATTTAAAATAAGCCTTATACTGGGAAGGTTGATGCTTAAATTTAAAATAAGCTTTTACTGGGAGGAATGATGCTTAAATGAACACTAATGGTTGATATATGACTTTATGTCGCGACTCCTTTGTATCTTTTTGTTCGATGGGCATGTTTTTTGCAATTTGGCTCTCAACAATTTACGGTGTTTAATATCACCGCCTCTCACTTCTTAACATATATAAGCCTATCCAAAAATAAAGGTTGGACACCACATCAAGGTTATTAACAGGGAAATTTCCTGGCATCTCTGCTCTTAATCCAACTGTCCATTTATTACCAAATTTAAAGTCTATTGGCTTGTTCAATATTATTGTTTAAAGTGATCTGCATATTATCCTGTCAATAAAGAAGTTCTTTGGTTACTCTCCTACACAAATAAATATCAAATATATTGTTGCTGAAACTATTCAACTCAGATAATCAAACTTTCACAACATTTTAAGATTTGAAACTAATATAAGGTATGAAACATACATTGCGGCCTGGCCTGTTGTCATTGAAAGAATTAAGGTTTAAATTGACCAACTGCGCATCGGTTTCACTAATTGATAAGATTGTGCTGAAAGTGGAAGAATGCATTAGCAGATACGTAGATATGAATGATATGATAACATTAAACACTCTAACTTATATTACCGTTAAAACAATCAAATATTTGGTGATAACGAATCGCAGCATGATAAGCAATCCAAAATTCCTGCAACATGATCGGCAATGTCCAAATGGTACTATTACAATTAAGTTTATGATTTCGTTATGTTCTAGTTGATGGTAATATTTTTTGATGTCAGAAGATGAGTTTGTTCAATTGGTGGTTCTGATACCACTAATGAACTTGAAGGGCTTGTTCCTGCTAAAATCACAAATGATCGCAAGTTATCAGATTAGTTGTTAAACGAAAAAAATCATACTTAGTTTCCAAAGGACTAATAATAGCAAGGCTAGCCATTGCCAACAGGATGGCAATGGCAAACTTGTATTTATTAATTGGCTGTAAATTGAAAGCTGATTGAGATTTGACAGGTATTAGCAGAATGCTGAAATACGTGATAATCAATCTGTGGTACGTGCGGGCTTCGATTGTTTTGGATTTTATTCATGAAACAAAATTATTTAAAGAGAAGTCTTTATAATTCATTTGTAACCACTGACAGTTAGCATAAGACAAAGTGTTCATGTAAATTACTCATACTCATGTAAATTTCATAAAAAATTAAGGCGTATGTCAATGCAATGTTGTTGATGAGGGAATATAGTAATTATTGATCCTTTACGCTCTGAAATGGAAATGAACGGTCCGAAAATTCGTTTATTTAATTCCCACAAAGCAATGGTTACACTCTGAGAAGAGATACAAGTCGTATTTATGGCCGATATATATTAAAGTTTGGCTTTTTGTTTTCTGAAAAGAAGTTAAATAATGAGTGAATGGCGAACATAGAAACTTTATAAAATATTTTACTCAAATAATTGTGATGGAGTCCAACTGTTTAGCGTATTTTACGTCTTCTCGATGACGACGCCATTTGATGCAAATGAAGAAATAAAGAGATGGCAGAAAATAAATCCTTCAAAATTAGCAATTTCTTTCGAAAACAAGTGCGACAAGGTCACAACTATCGTAAACTTGTTTTTTCGTTTACACTTCATCTGCACTTTTTTTCAATTATGATCCTTGATGAAATTTGAATTAGCAAATCACTATTAGTGAAGATCTAATCGTGATGCCATTCTGAATGCAGCTGTTTTTGATTTAGGCCTTGTTACTGTGCTGAAGATAAAGCCAGGAAAAAAGCTCTTGGCCAGCCGTATTTGGCATATCGTACCAGTAATGAAGAGTCAACACCTTAATGATTTTTGGGAAGGTTTGAATTTTCTTGTGCATATTATGTAAGGGAAAAATGGAATAAAAGGTATTTTACGCCATCAATCAAAATGATATTAACGCGTTAGCAAAAACCAAAAGCTGCTGAAAACAGTAACTTTTTTATGTTTGACTGAGTCATTGTCGTTAGCAAAGAAAAGCGATGAATGAACTAAATCAGAAACGAATTACTGCTTATTTGCAGAAACGATGTGAAAAGATGAAATGTGTTGATAACCGGAATAATCCCGGCCACTGTTCAGGAAATAACCAGGAAGAAAGAATAGATGAAAGAAGTTTAGCCATATGTCAATGTATGTCAAATCCTACGGCCAAGAATTTATAATGACATAATTCATGCGTGCAGTGTTTTTTACGATCCTATATTGCTTGAGACGGACGAAAGAAGTTTGATAAAGGTTTATTGATGACAGTGATTGATTGGGTTTCTCATTGGCGTGAAAGCGAAGTTGTACTAGCTAATGAACTAGAAGTTCCTCCTGGTATATGGTAAGCATCAAAGATTAAGCATATTAATGCGGATAAAAACGGCGAAGCAAGAAGCGCGCAGATAGAAGCACCTCATGGAAAACTTTTTAATCGACCAACTTTTCAACGGGAAACTTTTTCAAACAACTATTTATCAAAAAAGGTGCAAAATATTTATGTATATATTACGCGGTGAATTGGTAAATAGTGGTAAATGAATTATACAATAAGCAAGCAATGCGATTAACTAATTAAACTAACAAATTCCTTGTTGTTGTCTTCGATAATAGTTGACTGTTGTTTTGCTGATAGGTTGCGTAATGGTTGTTTATCCTGCCTATTAGATATTGTGGAAATTTTAGTTGAACATAGCTTTAGTTCCGGTAATCCGACATTCCTAACTCGAGAAGACCAAAAAGTTTCTTTGCTTTACTTGTACTTGTTTTCAGTGCAATAGGTTTTTCGGCGTTCTCTGGCTTATTTTTGGTCTCTTCTCTATGTCAGACTCAATGTTGTCCTCGAGGGGATATAACACGTTTATAGGTCTTGTAAGCAGTTTTCTACACGGATTTTCTATTACTGCAACTCTTATGACTCCATCTTTTCTTCTAAATTCCTTTATTTTTGCTAATTTCCAAAGATTTCGAGGAGTTTCATAAGTACGATTTCTCCTACTCGCGGTGAACAATTCCCTGTAACTTTTAGGATTTACGTGCTCTTTCTGAGTTTGTTCCCCTGAGACTTGTCAAGTACGCTGTTTTCCATAATTCCCAAAATGTATCGAGTACCTTGAGTGTAGCCATGCAATATTTAATTAGTCGTTCCCTCGCGTTCAGCGTTCCTGGCATGTATTCATCCTGATTGTCATTAGTTGTCGGTATAACTAAGGAAGGATTGGGTTGGATGAAATCAACTGGACCTATTACCTTACTATCATGAAAATTGGCATACGTCAGTGGTCTAATGTTTAAGATACCTTCTATCTCCACAATTAAAGTTATGAATCCCTTTTCCTATAGTAGTTTCCTTCCGATGGTCCTTCTCATAGTTCTTTTTGTCAATGCAATCAATCGCTCATAGATTCCTCCACTCCAGGGGGCTCTTGGCGCCAAGAGTTCTATTAGTTTTGTATGCTGTTCTTTTATAGTTTTAAAGACTAATTGGAATTGACCCATGTTATTACTTAAGACTTGTTCTCGATATCCTCATCGAGATATGAATCTTCTTAATACGTGGAAGAAAGATTCCGCAGATAAATTGTTTGTTATTTCTAAATGTATTGCTCTCGTGGTAAAGCATGTGAGCAAGGCAATCCATCTTTTGGACATCCCATTCTCAGTTTTGATGGAGAGAGGACCTAGATAGTCCAAACCAGCGTTTGCAAAGGTTCTTGATCGATTGACTCGTATTTCTGGTAGATTCCGCATGATGGGCAACTTGAATGGTTTCGCTGACCATCGTTTACAGCCGGTGCAGTTCTTGATAACACGTTTGACTTCAGTTCGACCCTTTGTTATCCAGAATTTACGTCTCAGCTCAGCGAGTGTATGTGCGGTTCCGGCATAATATAATTAATGCCTTATGCTGTTCCCATATTAAAAGCTCGATAGCCGCATTATGTCTTGGTAAATAAACTGGGTGTCTGCTTTGTTCATCCAATTCGGAATTTTCTAGGCAACTTTGTGATTTCCATAATTTGTCCTCGTCGTAGTGTAAGTTCCATTTCTCTATTTCTTCTTCGGTAATCGTTTCTGTTTGTGCTTGCTTAATGATCACCCACTCAGTTAATTTATGATCTTCAACTGTCAGTCGATGTCCTTGTGCCGATAACGAATTTAACCATGATAATTTCCCTTTTGTCATCCTTTTAATAAATTTAAGAACACAAATAGTCGTTTTTATCAATTTTAACCACTTGCTAAATCAGCTTGCGTCGATGATCCGAAAGTTTGTGTTCTCGATTTTTGAGTCATTGCAGTGATCCGTTCTTCTGTTTCTTCTTCGTATCCTTTCATGGTCTGATTTTCCTATTGAGGCCATTTAGTTTCAGGTTCTTTTAACCATCGCGGTCCTTTCCACCATAATTCATATTCCTTTAGTTTTCCTGGAGGAAGCCGGAGACATATCGAAATGAAATTTTTGCTCAGCGTGTTTCTTCTACCCTATTCTGTGCGAATCTTGACAGTAATTTCGAATGATTTTATATTCAATGTAATGCATATTTTGAGTTCGACCAGAAGGGTTATTGGACACGCGTTTAATTCTAATTGATGCTTGATGAACTTTACGGCTCGTACACCAATGAGTATCGCATGCATTTTCAATCGAGGTATGCTCACTTTTATTGGATTTTTTTATTGGATTTTTTATTTGGATTTTTTAATTGGATTCAGTTTAGATTTGGCGAAAATCAGTGACGTTTTCACCCTTATAGCACTCCTGTTTAAAACACACATCGCTGTTGCATATGCTATGCTTGAATGTAAGGAATGAATCTGCATTCGTTTCGTGAAGTTTATTGCCATCCTCGATATTTCGATAAAATCTGTTGACCATTTCTTGATGAGAGACTTCCACATTTCCTTGTCCTCTTCGTTTAGAATTTCATCCCTCTGAGCAAAACACTTGAATTTTTAAATTTGCATGAAGTCACGGTCAACTTATAAACAAACTGTTAAAACAATTGATTAGACTTGTAATTAGTATTAAATCAAACTATAACTTTAATGAGTTGCCCAAACAACATAAAAATAATCTTGAAAATCAGAACTCATTAATGACGGGTCTTCTGATTGTTGCACTATTGTTGAAAGTTGTAAAGTAAGTATAATCTGGTGAAGGTTAAACAGTTGAGAACATAATACACCTGAAAAGTTAGAAAATTTAGAATATGGGAAAACAATTTTTCGGCAAGTTAAAAAAGGATAACATGCTGGTTTTCTTTTAGGATTTTTCCGATGTTCAGGTTGCCTCAAAAAAAATTTGCCCCACTTTGAATTATAAAAAAGATACATAATAAAGTAGTGGAATAGTAGGCACATTTAATTATATTCCAGTTCCATACAATTCAGTATAAATATAATTATTGGTTTGTTTAATTTTAAAAATATCGAGAAAATGGTCATAAAAAATCTTTGATGATAACGATTTTGATGAATCGATGATAACGATTTCATCTGGGTGTATTCAACAAAATTTGAACCAGAAATAAAATGATTGTTGATGCTTCAACTACTGCAACAATAACAGTTATCACTTATCAGACGAAATGATACTCGTTTCTTCGTTGCATTTCTCATGTGAGT